GGGGAGGCAGGAGAGGGCTTTAGCTCCTCATCCACAGCAGGAAAGAGGCATGGTCTCAGCTCAGAGAGGAGACATTCACCAGGCGGCTCAGGAAATGGCTCCCCGCAGAGCGAGCCTGCCCGAGGCCTTACCTGTATTCTGGAGTAATCTTGCAGCAGCATTTTGGCGGCCTCTGGCTGCAGGTCTCCTTTGAAAATAGCACTTTTGATCTGGGCGAAGAAGATACCGTGCAGCTCGCTCCTCTGGAAGACGGCCAGCTGCCTGTGCGCCTTGGCGAAGTCCTCCTCCTGCTGCAGAGCCAGGGAGCGCCGCAGCTGCTCCTGCTCCAGGCCGTGCAGGGTCCGCAGGAGGCTGCTGCACTCGCCCGCCGACTGCAGAGAGGAGGTCACGTGAGAGGCTGACCTGCCAGACAGGCATGCACAGGCAAGTGCACACACACACACATGCTTACACATGCACACACAGCAGACATGCATGCACGCAGCCACCCACCGTGTACACACGTGCACATAGCATATGCACACACACAGCAGACATGCACACACGCAGTCACCCACCATGCACACACACGTGCACATGCACTCGCCCGCCGACTGCAGAGAGGAGGTCACGTGAGAGGCTGACCTGCCAGACAGGCACGCACAGGCAAGTGCACACACACACACATGCTTACACATGCACACACAGCAGACATGCATGCACGCAGCCACCCACCATGCACACACACGAGTACATAGCATATGTACACACACGTAAGCACACAGCATATGCACACACACAACCATCCACCATGCACTCTCACATGGACACACGTGTACACAGGGCATGCGCACACAATGTCCCACGCTGACCATGATGAGACTGCTCAGCTGGGGATATGCTGTTGCAAACTCCCCGTGATCCTAACGTTTCCCAGAGCCCCCTCAGAGGAGAACGTGCACAGGCGGGAACCTGCAGCTCACATGCCCAAGAACAGCTGCACAACGGAAGCTCCAAGGACTGCTGCCGGGCGCTCAGGCCTGTTGCCTCGTCTTTCCTTCGAACTCAGGCGGAGAGCAAAGCGCCAGCAGTCAGGCCCACACAAAGCTCACCTGGTGAGAAGGGCGGCAAAGAGGAGGGACGACGTGGCCAGGTGATGCCCGCACGTTACGTGGGCCGCGCGAGGAGAGGAAGGAGACACGTGGCTGAGTCCTGAGGACTCGCACCCTCGGAGGGGTGTTCTCCATCCCTCGGGGAGAGACGGACTCTAAGGCAGCCCGCCAGACTCCCGCCCCCGTGCAGAGTGGAGTGGCCTGGAGACGTAAATCTCCACCCGGGTGCGCATAAACTCTGAATGTGATGGGACTGTCACTCCTGAGACCAGGTGATTATGTGGCAGAGCGGTGGGGCCTTCCTGATGGACGTACAGACCCGAACCCGTGACTCTGAGTAACCAGGACGGGGGGTATCCTGCTGGGCTGACCTAACCAGTGAGAGTCCTGAGAAGAGGGACAGGCGATCCTCGAGGGAGACTCCCTCCCACGGGCCTTGAGGATGACAGCAGTCCTGCTGTGTGCTCCTGTGGGGAGGGGGGCGGGGGGACGCCTGCAGGGGCTGAGGGTCTCCCTTCTGCAAGTGCAAGGAAATGGATTCTGCTAGCAACTGAATGGAGTGGGACCGGGGGCCTGAGCTCCAGGGAGAAGGCAGCCCAATCGGGACCTGGATTGCAAGGTGGGGGTGGGGCCTGAGCCTCGCTTCACAGGAGCAGAGCCGGAATGTTCTAGAACTGGAGACCCAGTCTGTCTGACTCCCGAGTCTGTGCTGGAGAGAGCTGTGCTCTAGCGACTGCAGTCGAGGGACACACGTGCACACCGGCATCGCGACCTCTCTGTGGATGCGACCTCCTGGGAATGAAGCCTTTCTTTTCCCCTGGGACACCCCCCGCCCTCATGGCACTGTGGACATGGCTCTACCATAACATAGTGAATGATGTCACATTTTTTATATGTAATGATCCTTCTTAAACTACAGACTCTAGCGACTGCAGTCGAGGGACAATGTGCACACCGGCATCGCGACCTCTCTGTGGATGCGACCTCCTGGGAATGAAGCCTTTCTATTCCCCTGTTCCCCCCCATGGCACCGTGGACATAGCTCTACCATAACATAGTGAATGATGTCATATTTTCTATATGTAATGATCCTTCTTAAACTACAGACTTTTTTAATGCAAAACCCATGTCTCATTTTTCTCTGTACCTTCATGGCCTAGCCCAGTGCCTGAAGACAGTAAGAGATTAATAAATGCTTTCTAAATGAATTCTGGATGGATGGATGGGTGGTGGGTGGATAAGTATGTGGATGTGTAGACAGACAGATGGACAGATGGATGGGTGGATGGATAAATGAATGGATGGGTGGGTGCCTAGATGGACCCACGGTGGGTAGATAAATGGATGGGGAGATGGATGCATGTGGAGATGGACAGGAGGATAGATAAATGAATGGATGTGTAGACAATGATAGATGGATGGATGGGTGGATGAATAAGTGGATGGGTGGGTAGATGGATAGATGGGTAGGTGGATAGATAGATAAATGGGTGGATAAATGGGTGGATGGGTGGGTAGATGGATGAATGGATAGATGAATAGATGGGTGGGTGGATGGATGGATGGATGGATGAGTGGGTGGATGTATGAGTGGGTGGATGGATGGACGGATGGACGGATGGACGGATGGATATGGGTGGGTGGTTGGGGGGGGGGGTGGATGGATGGATGGATGGGTAGGTGGATGGATGGATAGATGGATGGATGAGTGAGTGGGTGGATGGATGGATGGATGGATGGATGGATGGATGGATAGATGGGTGGGTGGATGGATGGATGAATGGATGGATGGATGGATGGATGGGTTGATGAATGGGTGGGTAGGTTGCTGGCTGGATGAATGGATAAATGATGATTCCCAAGAGGAAGGAGAACGGTAGAGCTGCCCTACCCTCTCGCTAACATGCTTCAGCAGTTCTTCTGCCTCCTCCATCGCCGCTGCCTCCCTCTGGAACTGGTTTTCCGTCTTTTTTCTTGTTTCCAGGTCGCATTCAGCCGTCAGAGCCACCATCTTCCGATCATACTCCTCTTGTATTTCTTTCTCCAGCATCAGAAACTGCTTTTTAAAAGCGGCGCCCATCCTCCTCTCCACCTGAGGGGCGAGGTGGCCCCTGCTGCTCAGATCTCTCAGCAGAAGGGCGATGACGTCCTTGCTGATCTGGGTCCGACAAGCCTCCAGATCTGAGTCGGCCCGATTCAGGGTTGCAATCTCCAACCTGGGAGACACAAAGGTCGGGAGTGTTCCATTACCTAACGTCCGACAGAAGCCAGAGGCCCCTGGTTGGGAAAGCTCCGCGGCTTCCAGTTATCTGTAGGTCAGGCCTTCCTCTTTCCCTTTCCCTCCCTCCTCCTCCTCCTCCTCCTCCTCCTCC